ATACTGGTTTTGAGATTTATTAAGGTATTTTTCAAGCAAAAATGAGTTTTAAAGTGCAAAAATCAAATTCCTAGATATATTAAGCTTTAAATGGATTGTTCTATTGTATTTTGTATAAATATATTTGTTTGAATGATTTTAGCATGCTTAAAATGATTTTTGTGATTTTTATACATTTTTATTTGTGACTGTTGAATATTCCTATATAACTATGATGTTTGAAATTGCTCCACTTGTTGATAATGCTTGGATTTTGGAAAATATTATTTAAACTTAATTATTTTATTCTCAATTGTTTTAACTTTTGATTTGTGATTTTAGAAATTGATGATCAACTTGTGCTTAAATCATAAATATTGGAGTTTGATTGTTCATCTTTTTATTTCTTATGAAATAGTCTTGAAATATGCTTTAATTCTTTATCCTTATTAATTCAAGATTTATTTCTTCTCTTGTGTTGATGAATTGATAAACTTTATATGCTTAAAAGATATATATTGATTCTTTGTTCATCTATGTTTTTAGTCAATATATGTGTTCATATGTTGAACTTGACCTTAATACTTGTGATTTGAAAGTGCTTAATTGTTTGTTTCTTAATTTGAAATACTTTTGTGATATGTTTGCTCTTGTCCTTAAATGTTTTATCTCTTAATTTATGTTTTTAAATTAATGAACTACTTATTTTTTTAAATAATGTGTTGGTGGTTCATCTATTATTATTGTCAGGTGTGTACTTATATGAATATGATTGAGCATTACTTGACATACTTGTAACATGGCTTAAGTAAGTGATTTTCTTATAATGCTTATGTTTGCCTTAAGTCATTGTTGATGATGGCCTTTAATTTGTTTGTGATGAAATTTTATTAATCATGTTTTTTATTATAAATGTCTTCCTTATGCTTTCAATTTCTATATGGCATTTGACATATTATTTTGTGTTTTCTTGAAAAATTTCGAATATTGAATATGTTTTCCTTGTGTTCATTATTCTCATAAATTGACTTTTGCACATTACATAAAAACTTTTACCTTAGTACCATTCTTGTACTATTTGATGTTTAAATTTATATATGATTTCTAGCTTAATTATATATCTCTTTTGATATTGGCAACTTGTGCTTAATGAACAAAATTTTTTTGCCTATTAGAATGTGAAATTCATTTTCTAACAATTGGTATAATTTTTATCAATTGATTTTTTTTATGCTTTTAATGAAAATCTTTTGTCAAGAAATTTTCTAAGTCTATGCTAGGAGAACTTGAAATGAGCATGAATGGGTCAATATTCATTTTAAATTTTCAAGTATAGCAAGCAAGACATCTTTATCAATCAAACTCAATTACCTTAAAGATTTGCTCAAAAATTTGAAATGAAGAACTCAAAGCCAAATGAGTAAAACAACCTAGCTTGACATAAATGAAGGTAAATATATCGACTCTATGCTATGTGCCTATGATGAATGAGTTTGAAAACATGCTTGCTTTGATATGTGCTTAAAAGACTTATTTATTTTTGAATGCTTTGATTGTGTACAAAAATGAGATATTATGCTTAAACATATGAACACTTTGTATAAATTAGTCAGCAAGCTATTTGATAAAAATTGTCTTAATATTTTTTTTAAAGCTTGGATTGCTTAATTTACTTTGATTAATATTCATGCATAGTTCTTGATTGCCTTTATGTGATTAATATATATATTTTTTGTATGAATATTTGTTTAAAATGAATATTTGAACATGGCTATGAGTTGGTTATGTTGATTTCTTGATTTTTAAATTGATTTGACTCATAGATTATGAATTATAAATTTATAATGTTTATATATGTTCATTGATTGAGATCATTAAGATGACAAGTACCAAATTATGCCTAAATACTTGCATATTTTTTTAATTAGGTATATTGCTTATGTATTATGATTGAATACTTATATATGTTTGAATTAAGTACATTGCTATGCATTGAAATAATTTAGATTATATTTGAATGATTACACTTTCATTATTTATTTGCTATAGCATATGTGCTCATCATATTTAAAAAATCATGCTTATACAATCTTTGTTATGACATGATAAGTAAACCTCATTACTGATTAGTACTCATGAATTATTACATATGTATGGGCTTATGATTCTTATTTTGGATAGATTGTGCTTGTGAAATATTAATTTTATCATATTATAATTATTGATTAAATCTTTTATATGCTTGAAATATGTGTGATCTTTTAAAGTTGTTGGACAAAATTGCTAATAAATCTTTTGAACTTTCATTGATGCTTGTTTAATATGTGTGATCCTTGTTACTTATATCTTTCATGCAAAATTGTGTGCCTTAAATTGATTACCTCTTATTTAAAAAAAAAATCTAAGAATACAATTTTGCTTAGATTAAAATGAGTTGTTTTGTGACAGCAATTGGTATTCTTATTGATGGCATTCCTTTTACAATTGGTATCATTAACATTTGGTATGAGCTTAAATATATGTGCTTGAATTTATGCTTAATTGCTATTGATGTTTTATGTTCTAAGCACATCTACAATGACATGATTTATGAGTAGGTTGCATAACATTCATTATCTTTTGCTCATAAATTTCATATAATAAATTTGATGACTTGTGCTAAAAAGCTAAAATTGGATATATTAGAATATTTTTATGCTTTTGTGTTTGAATCATGTATTTGAACTTGATTGTGAACATCACTTGATTATAGGCATTCAAAAATATTTTTGATATTATTGGTATCATGTATTTTGTCATATGCCTTGAATTGATTTCTCTTTCTTTTAAAATAACAAAAAAAGGTAAGTTTAAAGATATTTCTTTTTGTATGCTTATAGCAATTGATATAAGAGCTTAAACATTTGGTATAAAGAGCTTAAACAAAAGGAAGAAAAAATGTTTTGTAAATATATTTATTAATGATGTATTTTTGTGTTTATTTACTCATTAATATGCTTATACTTTTTTGATATGACAAAAAAAGAAAAGAAATATCGTATGGACAAATTTGCTTATGCTTGACATATATATATTTGATTGTGCTTATTTGATTTATTTTATTAACATATATTTGTTGAGTTATGTTGGATTAAAATGTATTAACTAAGAGAGAGTTTTGCTATGTAAAGTTTAATGGTAGTTTTTTAAAATATTTTTTAAAAATCTTAAATGTCTTAAAGAAAGTGTTTTTTTATCAAGAAAATTTATTTTTAAGTTTTATCATATTAACAAAGGAGAGATTGTTAGCCTTGAATTGACTATTATTTTAAAATCATAAAATATTAAGCTAAATAAACTTGATCAAAATTTAGAAAAAGATTTATTTAGTACGTGTTCTTAAATTTTATTATTTTGGTATTAAATAAATAATATGATTTTCAAAATTTAAACAAACATTTCTTTATGTTTTCTTATATCTCAAATCAAAACCATATTTAAACATTATTTATTTGAGTTTAGATGAAAATTCAATTATTGTTTTTAAAGTAAACTTATTCATTTTGGACTTAATATAATTTTGATAATATTAATTTTGAGAAATAGATTAACTTTAAAAAGTTATTTTATAAGAATAAAGTTTTCCAACATTTAACTTGTTTTATTTTTTTTATATTAATTCATAAAGTTTTAATAATTGAATCTTATATGGTTGGAATGCTCTTTACATCTACTTTCTAATGAATCAAACAAAATTTAAATTTAAATTTTCTAAAAAAATATATCTTTGTAATTATTGTATCAAAATCATAGTTATTGTTCATTCATCATTTTCTTGTATTTAAACTTAGCAAACACCTTCCCTTAGAGAAGTTGTTCTATTGTTTACAAAATTACTTTTGATCTATAAAGGTGAAAAAGAACAAGAAGTAAAAAATCCTCTTGAGAGCTTTGTAATAAGATTGAATAAAATACTACAAAAGATAGATGTTTCTATCTTAAGCCCTTGAGAGAAAAAGATAAGATTGTATTTTCAATTCAAGAATAATGGATTAAAACCTTGATGTGAATAACCAAGAAGAAAAGATGTAATTACTTTGTGAAAAAAAATCGAATGTCTATAAATCATTGTGTTTGATTTCTCTATCCCTATCTCTTTACTTTGCATTTGCTTTAAGATTATCAATTTATTGTTATTTGTATCATATTTTAATATTGATTTTAATTTTTCATTCAATTATATTAAAATAATTTGGGAAGAATTTGAAGAGATCAAATTCACTCTTTCTTGAATCACTATCATACCTAAAAAGATAACAACATGCAAATGCATTATACATATGTTCATACCTGAACTAGGTTATTAATATCAATACCTAAAGAATTGTGAATATTTTTGAAGATTAATTCAATTGCTTCATATAATCACTTTAAAAATTAACATACAATAAATTTAAATTCAAATCTGAACACATGCAAACCCTTAGCCTCAACATCCCTAATATCCCTTATGTTTCCATTTGCATAGATTTTTTCCCTTACCTTTTATGTTATTAATTATCCTTCAGCAATTATTTGGCTTTTGCTAAAATATGAGTATGTTACCTCCACCTCATGTTCAAACTTCTTTAATATATCGTTTACGTACAATTTTGCAAGCTACAACTCAAAATATCGTCTTGATTTCAACATAAAACCTGAATTTCTTGAATCTATATCTGTTAAAGCTTCCAGCTGATGATTTTGATGTAGGGCTTCATCATTCTTATCCAAAAACTCTTTCAAAGAAATAAGTCTATCAAGATATCCCCCCCTCAAAAAAAAAAAAAAAAAAACCTCCACAACCTCATTTGGCTAGGTTAAAATGAGTATTTATTTAGTACTAAGTACTATTATTTGCATCTTTCATTTACCCTTAAACTATATGTTCATTACTAACTAGTGTTGTGCCCCTGCTTCGCTTGGGGTTGCTCAAGATTAATATTTTTTCATCAAGTTATATGAAGATAAAATTAAAGATATCTAGATGTATTGTACTTGCATATATGTGCTAAAAATTGTAAGTATAACTAAAAAAAAAAAAGAAAAAGACAATTGAGAAAAAGATTAAAAGCTAATGTTTCTTATTCCTTCAATTCATGAAGTTCTAGTTTTATACCAAAAGGAGAAAAGTACAAACTAATAGAGAGATAACCAAAATGAGAAGAAAAAAAAAAGACTCACTGTAGCTACATAAGACTAACATGATCTTTTCTCCATGTACAATACCAAAAAGCTTCCTTCAAGATTTGATCTATAATTAAACAAAGACAACTAAGTTAGAAATGCCTATTATATTCAAAATGTCAACATTAGCATGTAACAGAACAATTTTCCCTGCTTTTTTACAAAATCAACCAAGTTGACAATTAGGTATGCTCTATTCATGTTCTCCGATCAAGTGTAAGCTTTTAAACTCATATCTAAGTATTTCATTTTAAGAATGACTAATTCAGCTATTTAAATTTACCCAAAAATACAATATGTAAATAAAAAAGTCTTTATTCTCAGAAAACTTAAAAGTACAACCCTTTCGTAAACTATTTTTCATACCAAGGCATAATGTATGCATGTAGCAAAAGCAAATGGATAAGATTTAGAGCAAAGCAGATAAAACAATAATATGAAAAAGGTTTTGCTAACAATGATACCTAGAACAAAAAAAGATACCAATAATCAACTTAACTTTGGAGCACAAATAGACTCCATTCATTGTTAAGCATCCAAAAAGAGAAAACACACTTTGAATTCACTATCTTTGGCAAAAAAACAGACTTGCGAGTAGAAATGTACCAAGAGTATGCCTTTAATCCTCTACATAAGAATCATCCTACTTGCAAATGATTAGTAGTAAAGCAAAAGCAACTGATTATATTAGGAGATAAGCAATCAAATTACGAATTAAGCAATGTAAATCACAAAATGACTTCTCAAATATCCAAAATATTTAGAAGTTATATACCTGCAATGATTAAATCTAAAAATCAACACTTCTAAAACTTCCAAAGCACTAATATCTGATGAAAAAAAGGCATTAAAATCTCAAAATACTAAATTATATGAGTTTACATACATTTATTCTGTTTGCTGCATATTTTAAACTTATAAATAGAAATACAGTAAATTTTAGTTGGATTAATTGAAAAACAATTATAGATAGAAATATAGTATTTCTATCTATAATGGGAGAATTAACCTAATAGAGATAGAAATACTAGCAATGAGCAATCAAAGTCACCAATGACTGGTAAAATCCAACAAAGATAGGAAAAGATTGACCTAGGATAGAACTACACTATAACCCTTGTATAAATTAAAAACTAAACTCATTGTCTTGGTGAGGTACTGGCATGTGAATTAGCAGAATTTAAAGAAGATAGACAAAGAACTTCCATGACATCTTAATCTAACAGATATAATTATATTTAATCTAGCAATCTGGTTGTTCCTAACTTGATTAATATAAATACTTAGATTTTTTTCTTGTTACTTTTGATATGTTGAATAAGGACTGAATACATCCTTAATATATTCAATCATATCTTTCCAATCTTCTAATCCTATTCTGCCTAGGTTGTTTATTATAACCCATTGTATACAAATGCAAAACCAAAACCTAAACAAATGAGACAATAAAATTTTATATGTAAAATCATTAATCCTCCTACAGCAAAAAAAACCAAAGACGGTAGGAAATATCAACAAAAACTGTAATGAAATAACATTAATCATAGTGATTCACATTTAAGATAGAGTGTCAAATGCAAATAACAATACATATGTAACACAAAGTATCTATAAGATGAAATACTAATGGAAAAACAATAAAACGACTAAAAAAATATAAGCAATCATCATTAGTTGATTGAAAAAAAGCTAAACTCTAAACTATTGTGAGACCTTTATTCCCAAATTTACCTTTCTCACAATGAATGAGTATCTAAAACAAAAATTGCATAAAAAAATTTAAAAAAAAAAGACAAAACTGTAAATATATGTGCTTTTTTGTTGAAGTGGTAACTATTAGATTAAGAAATAAAACTAAATTCTAAAAATAATAAATAAGTAACTATACAATGATATAGAAGCAAAAATCTAGTAACTTACTAAAATCAAAACAATTAAAACAGTAGCAAACTTCAATTTTCTATAAAAAAAAAAAAAACATTAATACTCATCACCTGAAAATGCAAGAAGATAGCGAGTTTGACTTACAAAATATTTGTTGCAGAAGCTGGTGATGGAATGACTGCTCGTTGCTATTGTGCGGCTATTGTATGGATGATGATAACTCATGATACCTACCCTGGCTCTTCTTCTCTTTTACCATATCGAGGATAAGTTGAGTGTAAGATTCTCAATAGCATCCAAAAATCTCTGAATCAAAAGCTCACAACACCCTATGAAACTTTAGGATTCCTAGGAAAATTGATTTTATTTCATATTTGACATCAATAATAAATTTTTTTGATTTATTTTATCTTTGAAAATCAATGTAATTATATGATAAATAGAGATCCATTCAAACATGAAAATGAACATTCATAGCCACACGATTAAAAAAAGGTGCAATCCTAACTACGCGATAGGACCAAAGTATTACATATAATAAAAACAACGTTTGTAAACAAAACAAACGTAATAGATAATTATAATTTTATGTCTTTGAATTTTTTTTTTTAATTTTAGAAAGCACTTCATTTTTTATAAAAGCAGTAGATCAATTAAAATAATAACAAAATAAAATAGATATTTTCATATCAATAATATTTCTTATGTGGGAAACGTAGGGTTAGCAACGGGTCGGGTCGAGGCAGGGTTTTTGCTTGCCCCGAACCTGACCTAATTTTACAATCATAAAACCTATACCCGACCCGAACTTTTTTAAAAATTTTTAATACTCAAACCCGATCTGAAACTCGATATTGTATAAACCGTACCCGACTTAATCCGACCTGAAATTAATAAAATATTATTTTTAAAATATAAAATATAAAATTATATCATTATATATAAATAAAAAATTAAAAAATAATTTTAATATAGTATCGGGTCGGGTTTGGCCTAAAACCTGAACCCGATTCGACCCCAATTTTTTCTTAGTAATACCCAACCCTACCCGACCCGAAACCTGATTTTCCAAAAAAAAAAATCAACCCTATAAGGTCGGGTTGAGTCGGAACCTGTCGAACTCGGGTTGAGCTTTCAATCCTAGGGAAACGTAATAATTAATATAATATTAAAAAATATTTATGATACTTAAAAATATAATATTTGCTAATAAGGACCACAATTATTAGTTTGAAAACATGGTTGATAACTATCAAAGACCATGTCTTTTAGTTTCATTGTGTTAAGCTGCCAATTGTGCCTCCAATTCAGCAATTCATTCATTTTGCTGACCTATTATGGATAAATATTCAGCAGTGTTAGATATATAGGGTTTAGGCTTTGTTTTGAAATAATTTATTGGACTTACAAAGCTTCCAACACCCCTAACACAGGCAGGTCTATCTTTTGACCCAAAACTTAGGGTCAACACATTTATGTCATCACTAGTTTCAATTGCACCGGATATGCATCTCATAACTATGTCGTTTTAAAACACAAAATGCATACATAAATAAATACGATATATTAACATACATAAATAGACGGAAGTATCAAACGAGATATAAATCCGATATGAACTTACCATTTTTTTAGCCATTTCTTCAGTTCCTTCATCAGTATACTCTCAAGTTTTTGTAATATGTGCCTTTTTCCAAATATGCCATTTTGATATTTCGTTGCTTGATCCAGATATATCCTGAAACTATATCAAAATATAAGTTTGCAACTTGAAAGTAATTGAATTTCAAATTCCTTAAACCATATGTATGACATACAATAAAAAAAATTACAAGCTCACACTTCACATTTGCATACCTTTTTCTTGATAATCGATGGTTATACTTTTTTTAGGATCTTATTTTCTATTGGGCCTTTTTTATTTTTTGCAATCAACAAATTCAAGAACACATTAAACAAACAGTTTTAATAACATGAAAAACAAACAACCCAGCTCCAATAATTTTTCACAAAAAAAATTGTTATGTATACACTGAATTCATTTTATAGTCGAGTTGAAACAAACTTGTCCATCTGCATCACTAATTACATCTGAATATGTGGCTGAAGGATAAGCCAACAACTCAAAATTGTTAGCATTAGGTAATATATATTTTTGAGTGAATCTACCATGTCTTTGAATTTCAACCAAGTAGATTACAATATAACCTTTTTATACTCAGGTGGGACGTCAAAGCATTCCTATAAAGAATAAATTAACACATTTGAATAAGGCAGTATAATTGCATTCCATAAGCAATAGACATCAACAATCAATAATTTCAATTTGATTAATATAACTTGTCACAACTTATTCCCATATATGGTCTTTTTTATCTGCTAGAATGTTCCTTCAACTATTGTAGTTAATAGATACCGTCTCTCGAATGAGTCATCTGATACAGCTAGTCATTTTCGACGCACCACTTAAAACAAGTAAGTTATTAGCATTGAACTCAACATGTATTTTTTTTTTTATTGCTTGAAGTAACTTAGATTGTCCTTTAGCTTTTCTTTTTTTCGAACATGATGTGTCAACCAAATGTTTATGTTCGGTTGAAATAGAAATGTATTTTTCAGAATCTATTATATCAACTAATCTATACAAATAAGACCATTTATTTATTTATATTGTTTCATAACATATATTTTTATTGTTTATATTGTTCAAAACATATATTTATTTATATCGTTTCATAATAGAATTAATATTGATTTATATTGTTCCATAACATAAGAACATTGCAATCCAATAACTTGTTACCTAGATAAACGACAACGAAAATGACGAGCAACGACGACAACGAATCCAATAGCTTGTTACCTGTATGTTTTCAAAAAATGTGTTTATTGTTATAGAAATGTAATGTTTAAACAAACAAACACTACGTTTATATATACAAAAATAATTTTAAAACATAGTGTTTGAGTTATTGTATAACAAAATCATTGTCTTTGACTATATTTAATTTTATTTTTTGTTGTCAAACACTGCATTTATATTTTAAAAAAATGTAATCTTTGACTCTTATATATACTTTTTGTTCTTAATATATCACCTTATTTTTAACATTATAAAAATTAAAACCTTTTTCATTTTTTTTTTGTTTAATGATTGTCATAGATTTAATTTTAATAATATAATTGACGGTTGAAATGTTGGGTACATGTTTATTCACATATAATGAAAGTCATTATAATAAAAAGTATTTATTTCGTAATCTAATTTTTCTCAAAACAAATACAAAAATTTAACATTTTCATAACATGAAAAATCATCTATTACCATAAATTTACACTTATTTCGAGATCACTTTCTTTCTCAAAATTTAAAATTTTACAAATCAAACATTTCTTTATGGTATAGATGTGATGAATAAGGATTTCAAGTGAAATAAATAGTTTTTTTTTTAATCTATAATTTGGAAATAAAAATATTATTATAAATGTTGAGATTTAAAATTTTAAATTTATTGAAAGTCGTATTGGATGTCATTTTTTATAATTACATAAATCATTCTGATTCATAATTTTTTTACAAACAATGACATGATTTGAATTTAAAAAACAAAATTCTCTACTCTAAATGCTAAAAATGATTTGAGCTAAAGGTAGGAGGAACCAAACTGCTCCTCCAAATTTATATTACCGAAAGAACTCATATTAGCAATATAATTTCATCACCAAAAATCATAATATAGCTTAATTAACTAATAAAAAAATCATAATACAGCTTAATTAACTAATAAAAAAATAAAACAAAAAAAATTTACTTGTTCCGTGCAAAAATTCAAGAACTAAAACCCTAGAAATGCGGGGAGGGAATTATAATCTCACAGTGGGGGAATATGGGAATTGGAAACGACAAACAAGGAATTAGAAGGGAGAACGCAAGAACGTACAGTGATATGGAGTTTGGGAGACGAAGTCAAAGCCTAGTGGTCGGTGGGAGAAAGCGTGGTATCGCCGATCACGGTTGGAGTGAGGGTGAGGGAGCCTCTCGTTGAAGTATGAGAGGTTATGGTATCCCGGAATCGCCGGTATCCCGTGATCGCCGATCATGTTTTTCTTGTAATTGCTTGCTGCTTATGAAGAACGGTGCTTTTTTATAAATATTGAAAAGTTGAGGGGCTTCTTGTGAATCCTTTTTGGTGGAGCTAACGATTCCGTGGTCCGTTGTGGATATGTTAGATTCTGGGATGAATGATAATTTCACGCGCTGATTTTAACGTGATCACACTCCTAATTTTCAACAAATTTTTTAAAGTTAAAATTTTATTTTTTAAAAATAAAAAGATAAATGTATTTTTCTTTTTGACTTTTATGATAATAGGTGGACTTATAAATAAATAAAAATTCTTGCAAATTTAAAACATTAATAAATTTTTTATAATTAATCTACTCTCTTTGATTATATTCATTAAAATTCTTTTTTTATTCAAAATTGGAACACACTAATTTTTATTTATTTTTTATATAAAAATTATAACTAAATAAAAAATATTATAAGTATTAAGATTTAAATTATAAACTTATTAAATATTATTTTTTAAAATAATATAAAACGAATATAAAAAAAAGTCATGGAACGGTACAATTTTTTAATTATATTATTATTTTAATCCCTTAATATAAAATTTATTCATGTTTTCAATTTGGTTTAATATTTTGATTTGTTGGTTTTTTTATAACATTATAAATTAATTAAATTAAAATTTAAAATTTAAGTTTTACATTAATCTTTTATTTAAAATTTATTTATTCATGATATTCAAATTTTATTATGTAAAAAATCAAAATTAAACAAAATCAACCTTTCCCTATTATTATAAAGAATGTTTGAGGGCGTTGCCAGTGAAAAACAAATCATAGCGCGTGCGGAAGTGTGGCAAACTTGCAATGCCACTATTTTAATTTCTGGTCCATGATTTAAACAAAAACTAAACTTTATTTTATTTTATTTAAAATAATAATAAAAAAAGAGACAGAAAAATGGTGGAGGACGTTTAATTAGTTGGAAGCATTGGCAACAAAGCGAAGACCTGAAGCAAAGAAAAATGGCGTGGACTCTTCTGCTCTCTCCTCAGCCTCTGACTCTTCCTAAATTCTCAGTCTCCACAAAAAAAGTAGTGATCAGCAGCCAAAGAGCGGCAAGATTCATCACCAGAGCAAGTGCTACAGAAAAGAACAACGAAAAAAGCAAAGGCGACAAAGGTTTCACTCCGTTTGGTTTCGTCACCGATAATCCTTCCAGCCGCAGCGCCATTCAACTCCCCGAAACTCCCGCCGAGGATGGCAATGTCGGCCAAATGCTTTATGTGAGTAATTTATAGGCTACCTGACCTTATTTCCATGCGAACTTTGACTTCTTCAATGCAATTTACAGCTTTCTGTCGTCTATACACTTAAATTGTAGATTAATTTTATCTGCTTACATTTTGATTTACGGGATGACCCTATCTCATTTTGCTTATCAAAATTTATGGTTGATTTTTGTTTTTGGTCGAATGCAGAGGATAGAAGACAAGGGAAAGGAGTATGGCTCATACATTAAATCTGGAAAGCTTAGATGGTTTGTTAGAGAAACTGGTAAAGTTTCACGCTTTCACTATATTGAATGTCCTTGATTGCTTTTGGTTTATTCATTTGCTATTTGTATTTTACTCTTTTTTGCCAATATATGTATATATATATATGCACACACACACACACACGTGTATATATATATATATATATATATCAACCAAATAGAGTCTTAATGTTTCAAAGTGATCTTGTCGATTAATTTTGGTCCATGCAGGGTCGCCTCAAAGCCGACGTGGGACAGTTGTCTTCCTACATGGGGCTCCAACACAGTCTTATAGCTATCGAGTTGTAATGTCTCAGGTTGTCTAACTCACTATTTTGTCTTTTTTTTTTGCATATAATTTGGTGATATATATCTAAATATATCTGTGTTATTGTCTCGAAGTTATATTCATAATCAACAATTTGAGAATATATGAAATTAAGGATATAGTAGGACATATAGTACTATCTGATAAGGTTCTTTTTTCCTCAAGGGAGACTAGGAGGAATTAATCTGAAAAATGATTCTATATTATCAGATCTATTAAGGTTGCCAGGCATCATTAGGATTTTTTTTTTTGGTTACATCAGGAGGGCAAAGCCCTAGTACAAGTAAGAGAAAGGTGGGGAGGCCTGGTTCGAAACTAGGCTTTTGATATCCCCTCAAGCGCCTTTAACCACTAGGCTGAAGGCTTGGGGACATCATTAGGATTTTCTTATAGGAAATGAATAACAGTTTTATTCATACTCGTTGTAGGCTATCTTCAGCCGTAATAATAGCTTTTGGTATAGGTGATTACTTGTATTGTATTCCTCAATGGTTGCCTTTTATGCCACAAAAAAAGAAGTGTAAATTAGTTTATCCAGAAAATACAATAAGCATATATTGTATGTCCAAAGAGAGAACTGTCTTCCTTTGTTTATTCAGGTGATTGAACAATTGCAACTTTGCGTAGAATCATTCTGTGCCAAGACAAACAATGACCCTGGCTAACTCAACTTTCCCTTTTCTTTTGCATAGATGTCAGATGCTGGTTTCCACTGCTTCGCCCCTGATTGGATAGGATTTGGTTTCAGTGACAAACCACAGCCTGGATATGGCTTTGATTACACAGGTTTTTGGACATATAAAGTACTATTATATTATAATTACTCTTTAAGAATACTTTTCTTGATCTATGAGATCATTTTCTGCAACGCTAAATATTTAATGTTACAGAGAAGGAGTTTCATGAGGAACTTGATAAGTTACTGGATGTCCTGGGGGTCCAGTCTCCTTTCTTTCTGGTGGTTCAGGTTTGAAAAATTTGCATAAAACATGCTATGCTTTTATAATAAATCTGTATGTAGCAGTCTATGAAACCGGTGTCACCATGCTTGAAATCTGCTCTGAACAGCCTAAATTTCTAGTTGTACATGTTAACCATAAAAAGCTTGCATTAAACCTAGATCTAAGTTTTTGGTAGTTTACAGTATATCTACATGCCTAATATACTTCTTGTATTTCCTTGAAGGGGTTTCTTGTAGGTTCATATGGATTGACATGGGCATTGAAAAATCCAAGCAAGATATCGAAACTAGCAATTTTGAATACTCCATTAACAGTTTCATCTCCTATTCCTGGACTATTCCAAAAGCTAAGGTTTGGATCTCATTGTATTAATAATGACTGCTTATGATTCATTACATTACTTATTTAGAAATTACTAAAATTGACTTCTTTTGGACTGTCCACAATGGCATTGCTAATGTATATGGAGAGGCAAATCCTTTTAAGAAACACTTACGATGGTTATTTTTACAGTTAATTGAAGGAAATTAGGTGCCAATTCTTGATTGCACATCTGGCCAAAAAGTCTAGTAGCTTAATATTTTACAAGAGAAAAAATTATTTAGCTTGGAATGAAATCCTACAGGAGCCCCTATGGATGGAAGTTTTTTACAATTCTTGAGAGCAAACAAATAAGATGTAGCCGCTGCTATGGATCTTATTTCTACTTGTTAGTTATTACTTAGAAATACCAGAATAACCTCATTTCACCGCATTGTGTATGATGATGTCTTGTAATGGATACACTGCAATATTTATCCAGTATTCTTTTTTCTTTTTTAAATTTGTATGTTATCCAGGATAAGATTATTATTGTTTTCAAACTCATGACATGTAAAATTATTCTTGTTTTTCCCATCTTATACCTTGTTACTTCAGTGGTTGAGACATTGAAATGCTCTTTTGTGGCTTTTAAAATTTTTTTTGAACTTTTACTTTTGGATTCTATTCTTATTGGTCACTCATATTCCTTCTGATACAGTTAATTTTAACATAAAAACTATTATCTCAAGTTAAAAATGTAGAGATGGTAGTCCGTTTGTCATATCTTCCAAACCAAACAAGTTCCCATATGTTTTGCAACTTGTTCAAGCTTGTTGCTTCTGTCTGTTCAAACTTCATTTCCTCCGTAACTTTTAACATTATGATGACACTTTAGTTCTTTTTTTTTTTTCCCCTTTTTTTAAAACTTTATAGGTTTCTTCATTTCTTATTTTCGTTTGTATTCTTTACTTATGTTCTTCATTTTCGTTACCCTGCTCTTTGTTTCTCACAGAATACCATTTTATGGAGAATTTACTTCTCAGAATGCAGTCATGGCTGAACGCTTTATTGAAGGAGGTAGCCCGTATGTATCCAATATATCTATGGTATTTTGAGAATATTTCTACTTTAATCAAAGCTTTACATTTCCAGTAAAATCATCCTATTTGAACTTTGAGTAATAAAATTGCATATATTATCCTAGTAAGTAAGAATAGTCTGGAGCTAAACCTTAGGTTTTTTAGCAGCTAAATTATCTGTTGGCCTCAAAAATTAGTCCTTACAAATTAAGAATGGTACTCCCTGTATTTCCTATACCCTGATTATAATTTATAACTCACTTGTGCATGATGCTACCTGTGATAATCAAAATTTGATAAACTATTAAGCATTAGTGAAAAAGTGTATGATAAAAGTATTTGGATCATTGAAGAGTGAAGAAAATCTTTTATAGTTTTACTTGTTTATTTGTAGTTTTGTTGTAACATCAAGTGCTACAGTAAACACATAAGATGAATGAGGTGCCCTAATGTGTGACCCTAATGTGTGATGGAACATTTATTTCTTTTAAGAAATTGCTCTTGCAGTTCATTACGATGACTAATTTTTAGTGAGTTTCATATTCATAGAACAAAAAATGTCACTTGGCAAAAGGTCTTGTCGTAATGCATTATTGATGCAGGTGAATCTTATTGGAAAGGCATTCCTCTAAAAATTAAGAGCATTGATGTTTCAGAGAGCTAAAAAGTTTCTGCAAAAATGTCTTTGGAGATACAAAATATAATGCTGCAAATCTTGAGAACCATACAGCTATCAATTAAGTTGACACGGAATCATAATTTGTTCTTCACTTAAAAGTGGAAAGTTTCTTCCAAAGAAATTCAAACTGAAGCAATGCAACAAAAACTCGAAACTTTAATTTGCACTGACTATAAGCTTCGTTTTAACATTATATTCTGTTTAATGCCAGCTTCTTGTGGTTTTGTAATTTATCACTAAATATGACCTTTTCCCATTAATCATTCTTTTTCCCCTGACCCTGATGTTCTGAAGCCTTTCTCTTCTTACTTCATCTGACTTAACAGGAACAAAGTTACTCTGTCCCTGTTAGAGCGATGCAGTCATTTCAAAATGATTTAACCACTCAGGATTCATTTTAAACATCTTCTCTGAGTTGCATCTACTTAAATTTGTTATCTTGATTATTTCCGTGGCATGTAACATGATTCAGTTATGTGTACAATTATCTTGCAGCAGAACTTGTTTTTTAACTTCTATTGACGAAATAGCAAATGTCTTTGACAGATATGTGCTGAAGCTGGAAAAGGCTGATGTCTATCGGTTACCGTATTTGGCTAGCAGTGGACCCGGTTTTGGTTTGTTTTTTATCCTTACATTCGTGGACCTGTCGATGTTAATGAAATGATACTGATAGGAAGTACTAGTACCCTTTTCATATAGATAGATTAAGCTTAAGGGAAAACCAACTAGCCTTTTTTTTGGTGTACAAGACCAGAACTTAGCCCTGATCTTAACTTTGAAGTTTCAAACCTATTTTGGTGTTTCAGCATTACTTGAAGCTGCAAGAAAAATTAATTTCAGAGACATCTCAAGTCAAATAGCTGATGGATTTGCATCTGGAAGGTAGACTTTCCTGGATTGTCTTTAGCATTTTCTTTTTCCGGATTCATGTTCATAATGCAGAAACTGATAATATTTTTTGACAATTTGAGCTGTATCTGGTTTCCTTTTGGATAAAATGGCTGCTGGATCATACAAATTATCAATTTCAGGATAGTCCAGGCATAATCTAATAGTTCTTATGCTCTTGTTGTTGCACAATGGTCCACTATATCTGTAGCATCTTTCTCCAGATTCCTGTATCTTCCGTCCGCTGCTTTTCGATATAGGATACTGCATTTTTTATATAAAGTCTTAAGTAGGAAATACATAGTCACATTTTTCTTGCTAAGTGCTGTGGCACCCATAATTTGAGTGGATGAAAAATTCATTTAAAAGAGAATAAATAAACCCTTCATCTTGGAAAATTTTCTTTTTCTTTTTTCTTTTTTCCCTCGGGTGTGAGTCATTGTGGGATATCTGATTCTACAGATAGGTATGCAATTAGGTGCATCATAACTTTGCTAGAGCTAAAGCTAGACCAGTTAATCTCAGGCTTAACTAGAACTGAATCAGTTGCTTTCCTACTACCAAAAGCATACTCAAATCGTTTTAGTTTGGAAGAAATATTGTTTATATCATTTATTAGCAGTTCTCTGTTGTTACTTAGAGTTGAAATTGGTCTTGTAGTCTGATTTCAGTTCATTTAGTCTTCCTGTTAGTACTACATTATTTCACTATCTTTCAAGGCTTACAGATTGATGACTTCTCACCTTCAGATGGGATAAACCAGTTTTGATTGCTTGGGGTATAGCAGACAAGTATCTGCCTCAATCTGTTGCAGAAGAATTTCAGAAAGGAAACCCGAACTTGGTTAAGCTTAATTTGATTGAAGGTGCTGGCCATATGCCACAGGAGGACTGGTAACTAGCTTCATTACGTTAACCATGTTCGTTTCTTTTCTACTGCATTTTTATTCTTTTTTCTCAGTCAATAAATATTTTTCTGTTCATCAAATTAACAGGCCTGAGAAAGTTGTTGATGCTTTGAGAGTATTCTTCTAATTCCTGAATCAATTTATTGTCAAGTTTGGCTGCATACCAATGTTAATATGCAATTGCCTTTCCTCTTGTTTGAAGGTAAGATTCAATGCCTAAGCCCAATTTCTTGCAAATCTAATTAAGGGTGTAAGCGAACCGAACATCAACGAACTTTGTTATGTTTGTGATATATTCGTTTAATTAATAAACCCTAAAATCTTATTCATGATCGTTTGTTAAATCTAATAAACAAACAAAAACTGAATTTATTCATGAACTGTTCATTAAACCTTTTTTTTTATTTACATTTCAACATCATTTGAACCGAATATGAATGAACTTTACAATGTTCATGATTTGTTCGTTTAATTAACGAACTCCGAAATTTTATTCGTAATCGTTTGTTTAGTTTAATAAAAGAACAGAAATCGAGCCTGTTCACAAACTATTTGTCAAGCGTTTTTGTTCGTTTACTCCCTACAAATCTTTTGAATGATTTCGATAGTAAGTAATTACTCCGAGAAAGTAAAAGTTCGAAGAGGTTAAGGATTTTCTTGTGTGAGTATGATATCTTAAACTTCTCATTTTAGATTTCCTGCAGGTTTTTCCCAGAATATAGACGCAGCAATGTAATTTTCGAACAAATGCCCACCCAATTGGCATAAACTGAAACTATTGTATAGATTCGAGTTCGGATGTTGTATTTTTATATGTGAACATTCTTGCAGAGGTGTCATATGTAAAAGTAAAACGTCATGTTAATGGCTGAGAATGTAAAGAGCTATTGATGAATATCTTTTCCTTTCCTCAGGTGCTTACACTACATATTAGTCCCTACTCTGAAGAAACTTAGGCATAATTATTTTTCATTCTTATAAAATCATAGATGCCATGGATTCAATCTTAATCAAAACAAAAAGGTAGTTTCTTTATCTATTTTAGTGATTAATCATAATCATAATTTTCTTTCATGGAAATTTTCAATCACAGTAGTAATGTTTGACCTTTTGATGCTTTTATTATGAGAATGAAGTTGTTACATTTAAATTCTATCAGTAGCACTATTTTATAATGTATTGGGTTATGCATAAGACCTAGCTAAATGAGTTAAGTTTGAATTTTATATTAAATTTGATTGCCATATGATGAATCCAAGTTAAAATAAATTGAGCATAGAACTTTTATCTTAATGATGAGAAATAATAAAAATGTCTTTGATATTATTGTAAAATTTAAATTCAAGTCTCACCATTGTAGGATTTTTGGTTTAATTTTTATTTCATCTTTTAATAAGAATATTTTATTAATGCAATAATTATATTAAAAAACTAGATTATAATCCGTGCGAGGCACGAACTAATTTTATTTATTTAATATGAATACATATATACAAATTAGTTTCTTTTTAAAATTATATTCAAATTTTTAAAACTCATAACATATATAAAATTTATATATATTGACTTTTCATTAAAAAATAAACTTTTTGAAAATAGCAAAAAAAAAATTATGTCTTTCTTTTGGATATTTGTGTTTACAATAATATTTATACACCTGTAAAATTATATTAGATAAAAATAAATTATGTCTTTTTTAAAAAATAAAAATAGATATTATTGAATGATAAATTAAATAATAAAAGAAGTATTAATATATTTTCACTTTAGTAATCTTGACTAAATTATTATACAAAATATGAAAAATGTTAGAAAATATGTTAAAAAAATAAATTATAAAAAATATTATTTTTCATAAGAATGAAACTGTAATAACAATAAAATATATCTTCAAAAAATTTATAAACAAAAAAATTAACAAATTGAGATAGTAATAAAAAATATCTTTAAAAAATTACTGAAAAAAAAAATTTTGATGTATAACACATTTTATTTATAATCTTAAATTTGTATAAGAATTATTTAGTAGCAATTAATATTAAATAGATAATTTTTAAATTAATTTTTTAAAATTTAAATTGGATATAATAAGTGATAAAGATAATATTAAATTTTTTGCATTTATTTGAAATATAAATTTGATAATTAGAGTTCAAATGGATATAATTATTTTGATAATCTTATTATTTAAAGATTTAAGATAAAATTTTTTTGAATTTTTAAAATCTTACATAAAATTGCTTGAATTTTTAATGTCTTATAAAATTTTTTAAAAAGATAATTTTTTAAATCAAAATAAAAAATATTGTTAAAAGATTTTAATAAACTTAATCTTTGTAATTTTTAAACATGTTTGAAAGATTTTGATAATTAAATAATTTTTAAATAAGGTTATTTAATAAACAACTAAAATTATTTATTAAAAAAATATATTTCATATTTCATATTTTTAATTTTAAAATATATATCTAAATTAATTTAATTTTTAATTATAATTTAAATAATTTTGATATGTAAATAAATTTAAAATTATCTAATTTATAATTAAAAAAATTATCTTATGTGTCATTTAAAAGAGTTATCTATATAGATATTTATGTGACAAACTTATTTGTGTATATTGTTATATAATATATATATATATTATATATTATTTAATTGAAATTTTAATTTTCATTAAAAAAGTTTTGGTGGAGCTATAAAACGTAGTTAGGAGTACAACCAGAATAAATAGCTTTCGGCCCATGTTTAAAACCCTACGGAAAATCTGAAAAGGCAAAATGGATGAGCTGCTGGTTTTCGGATTTCCGCGTATTGATTGAGGCGGCTTTCTTTGAAATAATAGAGTATTTATGGATATTTTTAAAGATTAAAAATTTAAATAAAAAATTTTGAACATTTAAAATTTTTTTCTGATATTTTTGATAAAATTAATAAATTTATTTATTTATCTATTATAAATAAATATTTTTTAAAAAAACCTTTAATCAATCATAATTTCACAAGTTTTTCATGATATTCTAAAGTGTAGTTGCTAGGGAGGCTAACATACTTTGCAACAATGACAGAAAATGGCAAGGTTTTTGGGACAGCTTTAAACATATATAGACTTTAACCACTTTTCATGATATCTTATCATCATGTAATGAATAGTAGAAATTAACAAAAAAAAATTTTTTTATATAAGACAGTAACACCTAATGAACAACAAAAATATTTGTTTATAGTTTGGTATCCAATTATTGTAAATTAAAAAAAAAAAAACTATGTGATATATATTCTGTCCTTAACGATCATAGGGTTAATTTTGTAATTTACATTTTTTTTTTTAATTTTGGAGGAAGACTATTTGAACTCGTTATTAAATAAGAAATATATGTAAAATTTACCCTTAAAAATTTGATCTCCTAAATTAAAAAAAAAAACAGTAAAAGTGAAAAAAAATTGGAAGGGTAAGATTAAAGTGGCTAAAGCCAAACAATAATTACCAGTTCAAATGGTGACAAAATAGGGATTGAAAGAAGGGAGTCATGCAAGGTGAAGGTGGCCATGATTGTTAAGATCAATATGCCAAAATAAACGGCAACAATATCTGTACATAATATTCTCCATACTTCCCTCACCTACTTTGTTTCAATCCATATGCAATTATATTTTTGTTACACCTGGCATATAATTTATATAAAAATTATATATTATAATTTTTATATGGTTTCACAATTTTTATTTTAAATTATCATCTCTAGTTTTTTTTTTTATAAATAAAATGGAGGAATGGGGGTGCTTCTCAAAAATCACTTGATTTAGAAAGAAAGAGAGGGAGGGAGGGTCAGATCAGAGGGACATAGCAATCAGGGCTTTAGCAACAAGGAGAGGCTAGGATTGCTCTCAAATCCATAACACTACTAAAAAAAAACCCTTATCTTATCATCTCCCTAACCTTTTTCACAGGATTTCCTCCCTCCTTTTTTCAAAGAAAACAAAACAGATAAAGGTCTCTCAAACCAACCCTACCTCACTTGTTTCTTCTCTTCTTTCTGCATGTCTTCATCCATTCTTCTCCCACTAATCAACAATTAAGCACATTGCTTTGGACTAATTTTAAAGTTTAATCTAAGTTTCAGCTGCAATTTCAGGGATATAACTGTTTCTTTCACAGAAAAAAAAAGGGGTTATAGAAAATGGCCCCAAGGTCAAGCAGGGGCAAGTCCAATAAGGCAAATGCAGAGAAGAAGAAGAAAGAAGAAAAAGGTAAGCTACTTTTTAAGAACATTCATGTTTCTGAATTCTGGGTGATACCCTTTTTTTTGTCTTTTTAATTTGATTATTTTTTATTATTTTCCCAGTTGTTCCTAGTGTTCTTGACATCACTGTCATTACTCCCTATGAATCACAAGTTGTGCTCAAGGTATTTTGCTTCTCCAGTTTCCTGTTTCCTTTCTGTTTTTTTTTTTTTTCTCCTGTTTATTTCTACCCAATGCTTGCATTTAATTGAAAGAATGAACGTTACCAAATGGAAATTTTGTTGAAGGGTATCTCCACTGACAAGATACTTGATGTAAGAAGGCTGTTGGCTTCTCATGTGCAGACTTGCCACCTTACAAGTTATTCTTTAGCTCATGAGGTCAGCACTTTTCCTTTTTTTTTTTCCTTATTTTTCCTCCATTTTTCTTATATATATATATATATATATATATATTATAAAGTTGCCATATGTTTTTACAATAATTTATTTATATAAATCTGTTTTTTTTTTTTTTTTTTTTATGGTTAGGTCAAAGGGAAGAGATTGAATGACAAAGTAGAAGTGGTTACTCTGAAACCATGTTTGCTCAAAATGGTTGATGGTAGGCTAATCCTCCTTCCAAAAAAAAAAATTCTCTATTTCTTTTATTCTTTGTCTCAAATTAATAAATATTTCACCTCACATTACAATCATATAAAAGAAAGGTCGCTGAAGAATGGGTTGCTTTTTTTTTTTTTCTTTTTTAATTCAAATAAATCAAAATTAACCAAAGAGAAAAATTTTTTGTTAAATATTTTTAGTTAATTATTAGAAACAAAAGGCAAAAAAAATATTTGTTTTTTTTTTTTTGCCATTATGGGACTATGGGAGTGGGGATTGAAGGGTACAAAGTGAAACATGAAAAGGAGGAAATCAAGGACATGCAAATTGCAAAAGGGCAATAGCAAATGCAGATGAAGACCAATGGGTTGGCTAAACAACATTTAATGAGGCGGTTAGGACAATAAAATAATTTAGAAATTTTTTTTTGTTGTTCTGCCAAATACCATAATTGAGAAGTTAATTAGCCTATAATATCATATATTGGATGCTAGAGATGGTCCCTAGAGGCATCCATCTTAGTAGCACATTACTATTTTATTGATGAGGCAATTGAATTGATTCGGCCCATTATTTTAAATTATAGCCTACATTTCTTTGAAATTTCAATATAATTAATATTATATTTTTTATTTAAATTTGAATTTAATTCTTTAAACAAAATTTAATATTATTATTGAGTATTTTTAACATCGAAAGCTGCAGCTTAAAAAATTAAATATTAAAATTTAAACTATGAAATTAGGGTCCCTTGTCTTAAATATGAGAACATGACTAATAAAGTTAACATGATTGATTCAAAATTTTGGCTAAAAGGTATAAAAGTCCCTAAATTATAATTAAAAAAATTATTTAACTCTTATGTTTTAGGTTAAAGGGTTTAAATTATCCTTGAAAATTTAATAAGCATTTAAATTTGTAATATTTTATTATAATCAATAAAACCTTTAATTTTTATTTTGATTTAATTGAACATTTAAATGGATAGAATCTAATCATGTAGTAAAATTTAATCAATCAACACTTGAACTATAATTAATTGAATCCTTAAAGGGATCTTAGAAAGAAGAGAGAGAAAATAAAGAAAAAAAAAGAAAATTTTATTTTATTTAATTTTACATATATTAATTATACCACTTAGTAAATTTTAATCTATTTTATTAATGTTACATAGAATTTTATTCTAATTAGCAAAAAAATTAACGATATTTACTTTTTCATCCAAATAAGAATTTAATTAAGTGCTAATAAAGGTTAGAGAGACCTATTGATTGTAATAAAAAATAGGACTTGGATTATTTTTTAATTATACTTAAGGAGCTTTTTTAATCTTTCAGTATCTTTTTGTTTTTTATTGTAATCAATCAATTCTTTCAATTTTTATTTGTATCCAATTAAATTTTTATTTGAATAAAAAATTAACACTGTTAATTTTTTTTTGTCAATTAAAATTAAAATTTCATATGACATCAATAAAATAAATGAATATTTGTCATATGATATAATTATTATATGTGAAAATTAAATAAAATAATTTTTTTTTATTGTTCTTGTCTCTATTTTCTTAAAATCTCTTTAAAGGTTCAATTGATTTAATTTTGTTACATAATTAAATTTTGTCCAATTGAAGATTCGATTGAATCAAAATAAAAGAGTAAGGATTTGATTGATTGCAAGAAAAATATTTAAGGTTTAAATGATTATTAAATTATAATTCAAGGGCATTTTTACCCGTTAGCTCAAAATTTTCACTTATTTGATATAGTAACTTTTTTTTTTTTTTGACAAGCTTTTGTTCAAAAGTTACTTTTGGTTTAACTTCAATGCTAAAAAAGAAAAAAAAAAAATGGCTTTTCAGTTTGAAAACATAGTTATGTAATCCAAACCAAAACGTGATCGAAGAAATACTTTTACGGTGAAAAAGTATTTTTGAGATTGATAATTATTATATTACTTTATATTTCTAATATTTTTATTATTTTATGTATATTTTTCTATGTTCATAAATAAATATTAGAAAAAATAATAATTACAAAATTAATACAAATAAAAATTATTTTTATGACTTTAATATTTAATGAGTGATAGCACAAAATTACAAGTGATTATCATATATTCATATAAATAAAATATGTGTACATTTAATCAAACAATATGTATAATTACGTTAAAACATATGTTTATTGAAGAACATTAGAGTAATTTTAATTTTTTAAAATTTACATATAGGTTTTTTTTTTTATAATTATTTTCGACTATGGTATCAAATAATAAATATTTTTTATGAACATATGTTTCTAATAAATATAATAAATAAAATAAATAATTATAAATGTCTATATGTAAAATTAATAAAAAAAATGTGTATATGTATATGCATATTAATAAAAAGAAAATTAAAATACCTTTTGTAATTTCCGTATAAATAAAGACATTTTTTTCACTAATTATTTTATATCATGATATTGAATAATTAATTCCTTTTTATTAATTTTAATATAAATATAGATTTTTTTATTAATTTTACATATATATTTTTTCTTTTTATTAATAAATAATAATTTTACATATAGATATTATCTTTTAATTAATTATTTTCCATCATAATATCGAATAATTAATTTTTTTATTAATTTTCATATAAATATAGGCATTTCCTTTTTATTAATTTTATATATTGTTATTTCATTTCTAATAATTATTTTTTGTGATATATCAATCAATAAAAATTTTTATTAGATCACCTTTTTTTGAAATTTGTCATTTTCTACATAATTTTTTCTTGTCATGTGTACATTTTTATCATATTTATATTTATGGTAAACTTTAGAAATATACCATATGATTAAGATTAAAATAAAAATGCTCTAAGGTATAAAACATGATACTAAACTATCTTATAATTTTTTTTTTTACCAAAAGCTGTTACTTTTCTTGTTTTTTTTTTTTTTGCTTTTTTTTTCATATGAATTTATACTTTCTTTAAAAATTCATTCTCTCTTTAAAATCAAATCAATTCTCTTTTTAAACTTAAATCATTCCATAAATAGTAACCTTCAAATCACCAACCTCCACATCACTACCACCGTTACAAATTCATATCATTACTAAACTTTATTTTTAACTCATTCTCTCTTTTTTACAAATTAATTCTTTTTCTCTAAAACCACTATACTTTCTTTTTTTTTAATATTCTTCTTCAAGATCAAATTCGTCCAATGCTTAAATCCAGAATCTGATGAATCCTACCATCGTTACTACTTCACCATCTTAAGTTGACACCAACAAACCTGTAAAAAACCCTTTTTGGCTTACTTGTTGTTCTTTTTTTTTATTTTGTTGTCTACTCTTTTCAATACCTGTGAAAATCAGATATTATTGATTTTGTTGCTTTTTTTGGGTTTCCTATTTGTAGATTATTGCGGATGACTTTGTTTTATTCTTTGGGTGGATTATTGGTTTTAATGGTAGGGTTAATTGTCTGATAATGGTGAGAGTAATGCGAGGCTAATAAGTTATTGTTGGATTTGGTGGTAACCATTTAGTTTGGTGGTGATATGAATTTGTAATAGTGATGGTATTGTGAAGATTTTGGTAATTTAAAAGCTGTTGTTTGTAGATTGATATGAGTTTAAAGAAAAAAATTATTTGGTATTAGAGAGAGAATAAAATTTTAAAAAAAAGTATGAATTTTTAGAGAGAGAAAAGAGTATGAATTTAGATGAAAAAGAAAAAATAAAAAAACAAGAGAAAGTGACTATTTTGGATAAAAAATAAATCATAAGATAATTAAATGTCATATTTTAAATTTTAAGAGTATTTTCATTTCGACTTTAATCATTAATATATTTATGAAATTAACCTATCATTGTGTTCACATGTCTTAAAATTTTAAATATTATAAAATAAATATTAAGGGATTTAATTAATAAAAATAAGATGTGAGAGGCTTATTATGAATATTAGTTTAAAGACTTATTTAATTCTTTTAAATAATTGATGAAATTTTTTCATAATTTAGCCTTGTTGGAAAAGTTGGTTTTAACCATTGAGTCATCTAATTTTATTTTTTTTTCTTGATTCTATGCAATTCTTATTCTTTTATCCATCTATAAATCTATTTGATTAAATCGTGAATCCTACTATAAGATTTAAATTAATTTCTTATATCATTGCTTAATTAATTTATTTTTTAAAATGAAATAACTTGAACTTGAATTTATTATATCATTGTTTAAAAATGTAATTATCATTTTATTGGGTGC